GTTGATAGAAAAGATCAGATGTAAAAAAAAAAAAAAATAGACCCAGAGATGAAGGAATTGCAGAGACTACAACCAGTCAGATTTAAAAAATGCAGGATAAGAGAAAGTAAGTAACAGAAGTTTTTTTGGGGATGATGGTTTGAAGGAAAAAGTAAGTGAAAAGGGCAACTTGTGTATTTACGGATGCAGAAAGGATCAGAGGACCTTCCCCTAGATAAAACAGCAAGTGAGAGAAAGAATAAGAGAGAGAGAGAGAGAGAGAGGATGGAGTGGTCCGTTCCTCCCTTATCTTTATAATGCGGAATGAAAAAGGAGGTGCAGGAATGTAAATGGTGGTTTATGCAGGGCATGGTTGGAATTCGAGAAAACGAAAGGAAAAAATAAAAAGGGTACTATTCAATGGAATATTTGGAATAGAAATTGAGTCTTTCTTTCTCTCTCTGGACAGTCTTCTCTCTACCTTGGTGACGGATCGCGACCCCCCATTTAAATTCCCTCCCCTACTCTTTTTGTGTCCATTTCCACATTATCTTACTTATTTATTTTCCTAGAATTAGAATATTCCCGTTTTCATTTCTTGAACAAGGATTGACTGGCAGGCCATATATATATATACATCTCCTTCTCATCAGCTGATTTTATTAGGTCTTTTCCATGCAGACGTGGCATAAACCCTCTCACCATTTTTTCTTCCTCTTTGAAAGCTGACTGCCTAACACATGATGTTATGCTTAAGCCGCTGCGACGTTGATATCATCTTTGACAGATTTAACAAAGCGACAAACTTAATTAATCACAATAATTATCATTAATTCCTTGCTATATATACCAAAACATACTTACCCTTTTTCTCTTGTGTTACCATATAACCCTGATTACTATTAAGCTACTGGATTTTTTGCTTGAAAGCAGGAAAAACAGGGCAATAGAGGGAGGGGTTCACCCCAGATGTACAACAAACTCCTGATTAAACCGACCATTACCAGCTCTCCATGCAAGTGCCCTATAGGAAAACTCCTGTGCTTAGAGTAGGGTTAGTGTCCTGCTGGGCACGTTGAAAAAACCCTGGAAATGCCAATGAGCATCGAGCTGTACACGTGCGAAGAAGTTGCCTAGCTAGAGAGAAAGTTTTATGTGGGGGGAAGAAGTGCAAAAATAAATTGGTCTTGTGAGTAATAAGGAGGGAAGGAATATGGAGCAGGGACTATTAAGAGAGGAGCAGTGTCAGATTGGCTGGGGTGTCCGGCGACACCAGGGTCGCAGACCCACATGCAACTCTTCCCTTGGCCCTATTTTCATTTTAAAATTTTTCACTGTTTACTTCCCGACGCGCTCTTAGTCCAATAGATTCAAAATAGCGATTTTCCCTCATAAGATTAATAATTAATTTAAGTAAAATATTACTTGTAATTCTATGTTATATAATATTAATATGATACGTTGATATGTCATTAAAGATAATAACATAACATATTGATATGACATGATAATATTATTACGTTAAATACTTAAAAAATGAAATAAGTAGATAGGTACGAGAGTTTTTCGGTGGCTTATAAGCAGTGGCTTTACATATTTCATCAAATTAGTCTTTGGAAAAAGGGGTAATGGTTTCGTAATAGCATGTTCGTGTAATATATTTTCACCCTTCACATTCATACAACGTTATGTAGTCATAAAATAATAAGTGATATTTTGATTAATTAATAATTAATTATAAAAATTTAATTGATCTAAAATAAAATACAAAGACTTGCTTAAGGAATTTATTTAAATTTTTTTAAATAATTCAAGATATTCTTTGAATATTATGTCATAAAATATACTAATGTAGTACAAACTTAGAGCGTGAGGCGCGTTGCGAGCACGTGAACGGAAGCAAGTAGGAAAGGAAGACACTGCCCAAACTTAAACGTTCAATTCAACGGGTAGTATTTGTCTAATGTGTAATCTACCCGGATGCCCAATATTCCCTCTCCGTGTCCAAATATTCCTGTTTGAACCTAAAACCCCACTCCTGTCGAGCCCCACCCGAGCGTGGAAACCCGCAAACCCAAATTTATGAAATAATTAAACAACAATAATCAAATCATCATGTAATAAAAAAGACCATATTCCTCGGCGTCAACATGGTTTTGATCACGTGACCTTCCGGACGTGACCTTGTCTAGGTCTTAAGCTCTTCTTTTGTTCTCTTCTCTTGTTCTTTCTTTCTCTACTCCCGTTTTATTTGCTGAATTTTCCCCTTAATTTATTCCCATTTCTCGAACCCCTATGGCCCTCTTCTCCCTTTGTTTAATCCCACAAAAGGGGCTCATTAAACAGTAACAACAAGATGACTAGAAGGCAAAAAGATTAAATTAATATACTATGATCGTGTTTAAATGCCTTTTAATCATTTGTTAATAGTTTTCCAAGCCATGGTCAGCGCCTGATGCGCTCTAGATTCTCCGGGAAATGGAAAACTCTTTTTGGTTTCTTCTGTTAGTTTATTCGAGTACCTAGTTCTCTCTCTCTCTCTTTGTGTGTGTGCCTTTGGATTATTGAATTAATACGTTTGCAGTGGGGTAATATCCGGTCAACATGTCTCTCTATGGCTCACTTGCAATGTTGTCAAATGCTTCGGGCTATATTCCATATTCCATGTGTTTGTCTTATAAGAACCCTTTTTTCTATTCACGAAATCTTTCAACATTGCTCTCATGGTTATTAAACGAGTTTTGGAGTAATATATCTTGTAATTTTTAATGGCTACGGTTCAAGGGGCCTTCCCCCAGTTGGTAGCTATGGTTTTAACATGATGTGTAATTGTTTTTTAATGTGATGTTTGTCTGCTTGAATAAGAAGAAAGGATATGGTTGCAGTGCAGATGAAGCAAGAACAGACATGTTACTATTGTTAATTACTACCAAATTATTTGCTGGTAAATGCCTGTCGGCCACCGAAGAAAAATAAAATTCAAGGCCCTAACCATAGCTTCATACCTAAATATGTAAAGCCTTCCTATAGCTTAGCTAACCCCACATTCATGGTCATCTAATTTCTCACCAGTTCTGTAAATCACATGCATGACTACCCAGTTGTACAAAATTTAAACCTAAAACAACACTAAAAGATCAACTTGATTCAACAAAGTGTGGGTAAGTTTTGATTTTTTATTGTTTTGAGTTGAACAGAAGATCAGTCCAGCATTAAAGACCAAATACTGATCTGCAAATCATGCAAGGTTCATTCTTTTCATATATAGTTTGTCTTGGAGATTAAAAAAATGTCCATTCCAATTGGAAGAATATTAGCTTCTTCATGGTGATTCGTGAGATTAGGTTAGCCGGGCATGTGTATGTTTGCTTTGGAATTTGAATATCACCTTCTCCCACTCTCTTTGAGTATTTGCGAGAGAAAGACAAAAGAGAAAGGAAGGAATCACCGAAATCAACGCCGTTTAGGCTGACGTGCGCCACGACATTACATCACGTATACTATATACAAAACAAAGAGAAACAAAACCCCAGGCTCCCTATCCTTTCCACTGGTTCCTGTAAGAATTTTCTTCTGTCTTGATCTGTATGACACTTTTGATGCTCTTGCATGACAGAAGAAAGCAGGACTGTAACTGTAATTGAAATCTTAATCAGCTAGAAACTACACAACTTGGTCAAAAACCAGCATTAAAAAGTTCAATAATTGATCAATGATGGTGAATGTAATTCAAAGAGATCAGATGGGTATATGCTAACTTTATTTGCCTTCAAAAAGGGGTAGGTTCAATATATCAGAGCAAAAGAGAGGGTTCCCATAAAATTAATGACGTCAATTATTACCTTTATTTACCAAGGTGAATGAAGTCAGACCCTACGCAACCCTAACAATATTTTTTGTAGCGGCTGAAGCCTCAAACTAATAAAATAAAATCGAAAACGATATCAGACCTTGAGACTTGAAATCTTATCTTGTTTATATATATATATATATATAGATTTTGAATTCTGATCTTGATGTTACAATCCTAGAGCCTCACTAATCGGTTTGTCAACTTGCCTCAGCTCAGATTGGTGATCATCAATAACATCATGAAAGCGAAATAGAGTATTGACCATGCTGTCGATCGACTCAGATATTAAACAAAATTTGATCAAATTGAAATTCAACGAAGAATGACATTCATTCAATTCATTGAAGAAAACCCCTTTTATCTGGTGTTCTCAGTCTCAGTCCAAGGATGGTTTTCGGGTTTAAGTGAAAACTGAAAGCTGATGGGAATTTGCAGGATGCCTGGCGGCCTGCCTGCCTGGCCACCTAAGAAAGCAAATAAAGAGACCTGTCCCCTCCTTCTCCCTTTATATATCATATCATCGACTTAAATGAAATTTGGAATTGACCCCAAAAAAAAAAAAAAAGAGAAGAAAGAAAAAGAAGGTACGAACCATCCTAATGCATGAACTGGAAAAATGATAAAGTGGAGCCGAGTAATTAATCAGACAGAAAGAATGCAGCAAGGGGGAGATGGAGGCCGTATCAGTTAAAAGTAGTCTAAGAAACACTCTCCCAAAAAGCAGAAAGTGAAGATTGTAAATAATTAGGGTGGGATGAACATGATTTGCCATGTGTATGTAGGGTTAGTTCCCCTAGTTGTACGGGTTTTTTTTGCCCACAAAGTTTCAACAGCTATATTGATCAGTTTTGTTGATTAAAAACTTGGAGCTAGGATTGTACTTTTGCGTCACATGACCCACTTCCAGGGCAGCTCATGTGCCCTCAATCAGTTCCTTGTTGGGATTTCACAGTGGCCACTCAGAATTCGTCTGCCCCCCTCATAAAAGTCTTGATGCAGTGGAAAACCCAAAAAATAAAAAAATAAAAAAGCTTACCCAACTAAATTAAATGGTAAATCAAGAGAGTCAAATTGATCATATTTTATGTTGTAATGGGCAGCTAGTAGCAATTAATTTACCCAGAAATTACCTACCTCTTTTAGTTTAAAGCGTTCCTAGCCAGGCATCTCGCAGTTCTTCCTTCTGAAGCTGAAAAATTGAAGTAAATGCTGTTAGGATGTGACTTTATCAGTACATACATTGATCATAGATTCATGCTCTTTCTCAGGTTATCATTAACAGGAAAAAAACGAAAAAGAACTGGAATAACTTTGGAAGAATAATATTGTTAGCCAATAACCTGTCAAAAGTTTTCTCCAACTCTCTGATCCCACTTTTTCTCAGTCTTAATGGGGTTATCCTTGAGGTCATTTTCCATTTCCCAGAGTGGTATGGTCGTCATCTAGATTTAAAATAGACGAAAAATACAAGGAAAACATGGCTTCACACAGCCAAATTTTGTGCTGCTCATTCAACATAAATGGCAAAAGGGTGAAGAGCTAGCATTGCATCTTGATGACCTCATGCACAGCCCTATGTCCGATTCAATGGAGTAATAAATTCCCTTCCCCTCCGCCTATTGTGTTTTCCGGGAGGATAACTTTGTCAACATTCCCGTGACACTGTCTTTCGTATAGTTTTGTCATGGACCTCGAGGACCACATCTACACAATTGTTCTTTCATCTTTGGGTCCAAAAAGCTTGTGTGTTTTTTCCTCACTCTTTCTCTTACCTTGTTCTGACTCTTTCTAATATTGCCAGAAAGAATGCTCTTTTTTCCTTGTCAATTGTCAAACACCTCATTAATAGAATGTGAGAAAACTAAAACCTGACAATGTCAACATCAAGTAATTAAAATTCTTCCATTTCCCTTTCATGAAGGAATAAAAACATCCCCATGACGTAAATAAATTATTAGATTCAAAACCTTTGAACTTCATACCGAAAAAGCATTGTCAAGATGACCTTAATACACATTTTTCCCTGTTAAATAATTACCATGAAAATGACTTCAACACTAAAGAGTAGTGATTAGAATGGTCAGCTTTCCTGTTTGTCAACAGCATGTGCTAGCTGTCTACCCTTTAACTTCTTGTCCAATCCCCATGATCAGGCATTGGCTAGGATGGCAAAATGAATAATAAAAGTACCTACCAAATACCATAATTTTGTTTTTATACTGATAGAAATTATCTTACCGGCTAAGACAGGCTTTAATTTGGGATATATATATATATATATATATATATAAAAGATCAATTTAAAAAATTTGGAGTTTGATGGTTTCCTTTCTGGTGGCTTGAGAGAGAAAGACAAGCTGACAAACTCAAATGAAAATCTAGAGAGGATTAAGACTGTTTAACCCATTAAGTAGATTGAATCCAAGTGTAGCTTGGGAAGAACCTCACAGCAATCAGCCACCCCTAAAATAATAAAGTGGTAATCTAGAAGCCCAAGCTAGGGATGATTAGTCATAGATAGAAATGGTTCGAACAGGGAAAGGACAGCTTTTGATATGAGACGGCCCTGGAATCTTATAAGTTGATATTCTTAAATGAAGTACAGGTGGAAAATGTTTGGCAATGGGAAAGGGCATTAGCAATCATTTGTAATCTTTCTCAACACATAATTACAAGATTACAATAACAAAATTTTCGATTATATTTAAAGAGAAACAAATTCGCTTGTTGATAGATTGACAAAAACCGAGACCCTACCTTCTTATAATTATACCCTACATAAAAGGTATATAATGTCGTATTTCGAATGATGGACAAACGAAACTTCAAATATTGCTGGGGTACCATTACAACACCAAGAACACCTCAAGATTAATGTAAGATAAAAGACAATGGCCAAAAAGTAGAATGAACAAAGAAGTCTTTCTAAAAAAGACAAAATATTGTTCCATTTTTAGTACTTAGGAATTAGGATAGGGTTGAAATATCTATTTACGGTTATATATTCGATTTGGTAATTTCATTTTCAATTAATAAATGAAAATATTACCTTTTAAAAGAAAATGTATACTGTGCTACTTAGTTTTTTATGTTTGCATTTTTACCAAATTAATAACAAAAAAAATTAAATTGAGTTATGGTTGAATTAATCACTTTGAGAACAAGTATAATCGTATGCAAAAAGTACTAAGGTATAAATATGAGAAAATGTGCAAACCCCTCTTATAAAATGACTAAATTTCCATAAAAAACTAAGTAACACTATAAAATCAAATACCAAATTTAAATTAACATATATCTAAATTTTAATATGAAAATAATAAAATTTACGAGATACGGAAAGTTATCTTTCATTATATGATTTCGTGTTATCCCCACAGGCTCACAACCCAGAAACAGGTGTATTAGAGCCCAAATGGCTTCTTCTGGGCCTATATAAGCCCAAAGATATAGCCCAAATCCCAATAGCTTTTTCAAGGGGCCAGAAATGTAGCTGGTTTTTTCGGGGCCCAATATGAAAGAGATATACGTCCTTCTTGTAAAGCAGGCTTAAGCAGGGTCCGGAATGTCCAGGTAGAAATCTAAGAAGAAATTCGTCAAAAAGGAAAAAGAAAGAGACAAGCAAATCATCGCTTGATCAGTAGAGTTGCGATCAGATTGAAACTTGGGGGAAACACGAAAGGAGGGAGGAGAAATGACGGTGTTCCACTTCTTCAACTGTGCGATTCTCACCTTCGGTCCTCACGCCGTCTATTACTCCGCCACTCCATTGTACGTTCCTCTTTTGCTTGATAGCTACTTCGTTTTCATGTCATTTTGTGATTTACGAATCTATTGAAATCTTTGTATCTCTTTTTTTTAATGACTTTATTTCTTAATATGTGATGAAACTGAGCTCTAGCGAATCTCAAACCTCGATCTGTTCGTTCGAAGTTGGAAAACGAAGTGTCTCGACCGAATAGATTCCTTTTCTTCTCCGCTATAAGAAAACTGAGCTAAGATCTATAGAAAAAATTATCTCGTATCGAGATTTTATGAAAATTTAGTTAAAATTGTTGAGGAGAAATGTTATTTTCTACTATATTATAGTATTTGTTAACATATAATTCAGTATATTCATAGTAAATCATGTTCATGCAGATCGGAGTATGATACTCTCGGTACCTCTGTTAAAGCTGCCCTTGTTTATCTCGGAACAGCTTTGGTAAAGGTCAGTAGAGCTGGTAAAATAAGTGTAGTTGAATTACTGGTTAAACTGTAATCTCATGTTTCTTGTGGTTGCTTTTGGGATAGTTAATTTGTTTTTCTTTATATGCTGGCAGCTTGTTTGCCTGGCGACGTTTTTGAAGGTGTCTGAGAATGATGGCTTCGATCCATACCAGGTATTTGTATTTCCATATTTTTAGTTCTGAAATTGGGAGCTACATGGAGGAATGCGGTTGTTGCGCTAATATGCTTGTTTAGAAATTTTGATTCTAGATTTTGGCAATAGGATGTAGTTTTTGTGGTTCTGTTGAAGATAACCTAGATGTTAAAGTTAGCTAGAAAATAATGTGAAAACTTTTACTTTTTTGTCTACAGTTTTGCATAAGGGTGTGTTAGGGATGTCGCCTGTAATACTGCCATGAGTCTTTATGAAAAGTCTTATGTATAGCAACTTATTAACAGTTGTATTGCTTATACATTTTCAGGAACTTTTGAAAGCGCTGATTGGTTTCATAGATGTTGCTGGGCTTTATTTTGCCTTAACACAGTTGTATCACAGGAACATCTCTCAAAATCATAAATTTCAAGCTGTTGGACTTGGTGAGTGTAACTGACTCGATCATTTGAGTTGAGATTCAGCTTTGCCTCCTTCTGAATAACCCCCTTCCCCTTTTCCAAATACAAATTAAAAAAAGAACCTTCTTTTGCATTTTATGGTTTTTGACCCTGAAGATCATCATTCATCAGATCATCTAATTTAATAATGAGTTGAATCATTAGGAGCAAAGCTTGATCTTTATTACTAGTAAATTAAATATCATAATATTAATAGAATGGTCATACTAAATTCAGTTCAAGAAGCTTGAAATCACTTGGTGTTCCATTTTGAAGTATCCGAAGAGTAATACATTGATCTGGACCAGCATTGCCTCTTCTGTTTTTAGTGAATATTTGATGCTAGTTTGGCCCAGAGGATAAAAATTTGAGTTCAGTAATGATATGCCTAATAGATGGATAAATTTATATTTGATAACATCGAGATGAGCATCATCTAGCTTATTTTTCATGGATTTTTTCACTTGCCTTTATAAAATCAGCACAATGGCTTATTTCTTTCCATGTGGATAGGATGGGCATTTGCTGATTCTGTTCTACATAGATTGGCACCCCTTTGGGTGGGAGCTAGAGGACTAGAATTCACTTGGGATTACATTCTGCAAGGCCTGGAAGCAAATGCTAATTTGGTATGTTTATTTCTTTAATGGTTGGAACGTTTCTTTTGCGGCTGTCTTGTTGGGCATTCTCGATTCTATACCGGACTACCAGTAGTTTATTTGGAAAAGTGTTCAGAAATTAGAATGATGATTGTGTAACAGCAAGATTTTAGAATTGTGGTTTCTTTAAGCAAAAGCAAACTTACAATTTATCTCTCTGCTTATGGGCATTTCTATCCTTTTCTCACTTCAGGTGTTGAGTATATCTCTTGCAGCATTGGGATCTTTGATGTGGCTTCGCAAGAACAAGCCCAAGACTTTAATTCCCATAATATATGCATGTGCTGGCATTGTTGCAACCATGCCATCCATTACTAGGTCTGTTTTAACTGGTCACTGCATCTGTCCACAACTTTCTCCTCGTTTCTGCTTGGCCACAATTTAACCTTCTCGTGACAATTTTCCTTTGCTAAATTTCGGCAGCTATCTAAGGCGAGGATTGGGATGGCACTTTCCAAAGGTGGTGGGCTTTGAATTGTTCACATCTCTGGTGATGGCTTTCATTAGTTGGCAATTATTTTCAGCATGCCAAAGGCCCTCTGCATGAGGACCACAGCTTATTCCCCCCTGCCTGGTGATCGAAGAGATGTTGGATAACTATCAATTATTCTTTCCTAATCAGTTCCTTTACCCCAGGCTGCTTTGTTGTCTACTTTAAAGTTCAATCATCTTAACGTTAATCCATAGAGTTTAGCTAAGGCACAAGACTCAAATTTTGTATCTCCAGGAAAGTAGAGAGAAGATTTTTGATATAGAGTTTGGTAGCTTTATTGTTCCGTACCTTTACTACAAGGACCCTTGCATCCTTAACCTAAGTTTCAAGAACAGGGCAGTTTCTCTTACATGCTAATTTATTCATATGTGATTTCCCAATTATTTCTCTCCCTTTGCCATAGGCACTCCCTCTAGTTCAAGCCATCGTATTGGAATTTTAACTGGCATTATGCTGCAGCCGACGATTAAATTATCACCAAATTCATAAATTAAACGAAAATGAAATGCATATCTGCTTGTGAAGAAAATGCTTCTATTTAGGCATTTGATTAACTCTATTGCAAGTTATTAAAAGCTTCAGATGATCCCTACCATGTTCTCTGATCATACTACCGAGAAGAATTCACACCAACATTGCAGGCAAAGACAAAAGTCCTTGGAACAGAAGTTGTTTCACTGGTCAGATTCCTCTAGGGATGCTTCAATACGCAAAAGAACAAAGCCAACTGCAACCCCGATCAGAACAAGCCCGTTCATGATAGCTGCGATCTTGAAAATCTCAGCCGCTTCGTTGCACGTAGAGGACAACGCTCCCCCACCTGTTCTTCCTTCGCCATGCGCCTTCTTCAAGGAGCTGATAACATTAGCAAAGCACTGCTCAGTGCACCGTGGCAGGCCGAGGGAAACCACGTTGTTGTTGTTGTGTGCTTTCAGACCTCCATAGGAACTCATTCCTCCAATGTACACCACTTTGGGTGTTGTCTGTTTGGTTTTGTTGCTGACGCAGCTCACGACTCCGCCACTGGCGGTTGCCGGAGCAAGGACAGCTGAAGTTGTTGCCATGTCAACCAAGCTTGCGATCAAGAAGCTTCGCTTAACAAGAACCTCAAAGGTACTTACGAGAACTAAAACGTAGCAAAGAAACTGGGATTACCTGTGAGTTTGATCGTGCAGGATTCTGCGGATAGAAAGAGATGGAACAACAGACAATACCATATCGAGGGGAAAGTCGTGGTTTTAGATAAGATTAGCTGAATTATGATTGGCTGACAAAACATGAGATGGGGAGATGGGCCCAAAATTGGCATTGGGCCTTTTCTTGTTCATTCATCCGAGATTTTAAGTTTCTTCCACTTACGTATTTGTAAATTTTGCATAAGATTTTACCCAAAAAATGTCATTACGACAAAGATCGGGTCTCAGAACCTGGGATAAAATTCTGCAGAACCAACAATGGAAGGTCAAACAGGGCCAATGGCTCCACTAGAGATTCAAGAGGTTTGCTACACCGCAATAAACCAAATCAGTCGAGCAGCAAATCTTACGGAAATGGAAAGAGATAAAGAGTGTGACAGGACATTAACCATTTGTACATATATAATTTACAACTTGATCGAGTTTTCCCGTTGGCAATAGCAAATGCAGATTGCTAGCCTCACAAAACTACAACTTAACAGTGTATCAGACATCTATAGCAGATATATCTATAGATGATGCCAGGACTGCATTGCACGTTTTGGGACAACCTTTAGTATAAGGCAGGGTGCACTTGGGTTAGAGGAACTGGTGCTTGCAGAACCCGAAAGATGCTAACATCCAGTATCATTGGTTTGTTTCCTACGTCGGCAGGCTCAAACACACACGCATCATCTTCGTCCAAGTTATTGTCGTTAACAAAATTCCTCCAACCACCAGAAAGCCCTCCACAATCACGATTCCTGTGATAATAAAATCTGGCCTTCCATGTCTGCTTGTTAATACGTAGAATCACATCTTCGTTTTGTTTTGAGAGATGTTTAGCCACCCATGCAGTAGGGATTGCCTGAATGGACCAACAATGCAATACAATAAACAAGGCTGAGCTTCAACATGATCGTCTAATTTGAATGGAGAAACAAGGCATATGTACAAACCACAAGCTACCAATCTCTTTGCTCATGTTAATATTGGATGAATAAAAGGAGTAACAGACAGTCATGGAGAAAGGGAAAGCACAATAAAACCCAAAGTTTGATCAAATTCAGGATGGGATTTTACCATATAAAATCGTCTTGCTACATGTGTGGGCTTCATAACTACCATAAAACCCTCTCTGGTTAGTGCTTCCTGTGCCATTAGAAAGACATTTGCTTTCTCAACTTGAGTCGCAGGCCTTTTACCAGTTGTGTACCGGGGGCTAAAGACATCTCCATCCATTGATGTCTGGTCAAACTCTAAATCACCTGTGAATTAGGGGCGAAAAGAGAGTACAACATCAGTCACCCAATTTGAGTTTCCGGCCAGGCCATAGATACATTTTAGTCATTTGCCACAACATACATTGCTAAATGGTCAGACAACAAATGCATATCCAATAAATCACCAAGAACTTCCAGAAATCATCTCAAAGACCCTAATATTCCAGTGTCGACAATAAAAAGTGGGAAGCAGGTGTCAAAAAACATTAAATCTACCGTGGAAAGCATATTTTATGTAAAGCAAAGGTTTTAGAAGTGCTCCTACCAGTTTCAACCTTCACTTCTGCAGCAAAAGTAGTAAGATCTTTGCCTCTGAGGCTCTTCCTAGCAGGGACGGACCTAGTAGAAGAACCCATAATTCGCATTTTCTTATTTGTAGCTGCAGAGGTGATAGGTTGTCTTGATGGCCTAGTCTCAATGTCATTGTTAATAGATTTTTCTGGACTGCTTTCAAGACCACAGTGTGAAGAATTGTGCACAATTTCAACGGGAGTTTCATTCATCTTTCTTTTTGTTTGGCATCGGCTGTCATATTCTGTATGCTCACACTTCCTCACAAAATAAGATGCTGCCTTCTCACACAAGCTCCGGCCATCAAACATCAGAACATCAAAATGGGACATTCCATTGTATTTGAAGATCAACAAGTCATTCTCCACCAAAGAATGGTCTTCCACAAAAATTTTCCATCCACAATCGAAGAACAAGGTATTACCATCTGCTTTCAGTCCCACATCCCATATGATACCACTAGGACCCTTAAGAGTCACAGTTGCCGGAAGCTTTTGCTTGATATTCTTAGCAAACTTTTCTGGTACTTCCTGCAGTTTCATACATCATTTAAGTGCAAGGTGAAACTTGAATTTTCTAGCAAAGCACAAACCAAAGAGAGATAAAAATGATTGGCGAAGGCCGAAATGTAAGATGCCATAAGTGTAACAGGGGAAGGAGGATAGGCATGCAAACATGGAATGACAACAAGATAACTCTTTCTCACTTCAGATTTGCAGCTTGATTGCTAGAGAAAAAGTTCAAAAATGCATCCCATTGGAAAGGTCAAGGGATGAACTACGTACTGCAGTGTTCTTGATCTTTAAGATTTCCATTTTCAACTAAGCAAACACACAGGAATCAAAAGACAAAACTAGACAACCAAGAGAAGAGGTGGTGTCAAGACGGGAACTTACAAGCCGCTGAAGGAAATCACCATTGAGAAATTGAGAGAAATGAATGGACTGAAAATGGGTCCAAAAGATTTCCTCTTCCCAGCTCCTACAATCCTTACAGGAATCTCCCATTTTGCATACCCAAACAGCTGATCTGCACCCACTATTCACCAGAAGAAAGCTAACAAACTAAACTTTTAACTCACGTTGAAATACCAAGATATGCTCCGGCCTCACGAGAGTAACAGCAAAGAGGTCAAAGATACATACAGAAGCAAATGGACAAGAATCCTCGACTGTCTAAAAGAATCCCCAGAAAAGGAAGGTTATTAATAAGCAAAAGTACGGTTCACCTAGACATGGTTCTGTATGAGATAAATGCTTTGCTTTTATGTTTCATTTGCTTTTGTTTCTTGTTTCTGTAAAAGGCATGAAGAATCCCAAAGCGGCAAGCAAATGAGCAAAAGATTTTGCATTGTGGTTGTACTTGAGACTTGGGAGTAGGAGGCCGGGACTGAGAGAAGTACACGAGGAGAGTGTCATCTCAAAGAACGAGCCTTTCTTAGTGTAACGGAAACATGTGGAACACACTTTGCGGTTGGCACTCCAGATGTAACTAAGTGGGGTTCTGAATCTACTGTTTTGGCTTCGGGGACTGAGCTCCCACTTCCCCCATAATGTTTGGTCTGGATCTCTGTTGACTCTCAGCGGGTGATACTACCATATGAACAATATCTCCGGGTTTGCAATCATGAATTTCAATTAATAAACTAACATATGATACTGAGTACGGGTCCAGTAGATGCGTCCTCTTTCCGCTTCGTTCTATCCTTGCTCGAGTCCCTCATTTCAACAGGCAAAAGAAAGAACTAAAAAAGATTCCTTCCATAAACGAACAGAGCTTAGAAGTTAGATCCCGAAGTGAACCAAATAAACTGAAGCAAAAATCCCAAAGCAGAGACTCGGTTGACTGAAAATGCCAAGGTTGCGTGCGCATGTAATGATGATGATCCATAAAAAAACAGCTCAGTTTTTAAGAGAAATTGGCGGCCCAAGTGACAGGGCGGTACTGATGATTGACACCAGCCGCTGCTACTCTCCACGTCCAGTCGATTAATGGTTAAAAACTTCAACACTGAACTATCGATGACCGGCAATTTCATTTCTCGTCAAGATGGGATTGGAACCTGATCAACTAGTTCCACAAATGATCTTAGCTCATGTGCCCCAAAAGATTTTCTGGGGTGACTGAGAAAATTGTTGATTCGCATAAATTACTGGATGATATCTTACAGGTTAACTACCTGCGGCAAGTGAAAATTTGACAACGTTAAACCTTGTTCCTATTACTTTCACGTTCTTAATTTATCAGAGAAAAACCAAAACCTCAAGTTCATGAGACCATACTAAATAAATTCATGGCATACATGCGGACATCACTTCGAAGTTTCAGTCCCAAAGCCAAAAGAGAGAGCAAATCGATAAGTACGGCAGTTGAAGCACTTGCAAATAGTGCCCTAACTTGAATCAAGGTTTCAAAGGAATTTTATCTCAAAGTTAGCAACTCCGTTGAAGCATGTTGATGATCTAGCCCTTTTCTTCCCGACCCTGATATATGAACATACATCTCACACTTATTAACAAGTTCAAATATGCAGACATCCCCCATCTTGATGTCATTGTCACGAACAAAGGCCATCCAGCCTCCACAAAAGGTATGCACCGCTCTCCCTTTCGAGTCCGGGACAGAATTTACAGTCCACCATTTGCCTTGCATATTACGAAGAACAACCTCTGTTTTGCAATACGGAAGATACGCCTTTGAAAACTTATATGGTATTTTCTGCATGACAGGATCCAGAGAATAGTAAATGAAGATTCATGCTACTAGAGAATCCCCAAAGAACCCTATGCCTCTTATAGTCTGCAAAGATAACTAGCCAACGATTGCTAATAGTGCTATCAGAATCTAAGAACGACAGATGATATGGGGTATGTTAGGCCGGATGAACCAAATGGTGCTTAAGAACCCAAGTTCACTCCACAAGTAAGAAGCAGTCAAGATAAGGCTTCAAAAAGAATGTATAACAAAGAGATTAAAATATGGGTGAGATGAAAATCCTCATCTAGATAACAAATGCAATTTGTCGAAGAAAAATCCCATAGTAATTAATAATTCAATGTTGTCCTACCAACATAGGGCATGTTTTATTTTAATTTTTTGATTCTTTAGTTTCTTTAATCTTAATTATTTCTTGATTCGGATTAATCATTCAGCAGATTCACCATAGAATTTGATGATAAACTTAGTTATGGATGAACTAATACTAGTCAAATTTTAAAGGGGAAAAAGGAAAAGCAAATTGCTCACCAGAGTATACGAGCCACCGACATTGAACTTTCTCATGATTCTCACAAAACTAGGAAACCCAGAAGCAAAAGACTGAGCTGCTTTTTCTTCATCAAGTGCCAACATCATTCTCAAACCACCAATAGCTGCTTCTGTTTTACAAGCGAAATCAAGTTACAATGCAGTTCTCTTAATAACTCTAGTTAATTGATATTTTACAAATATTCCAAGGATTGAGAAAGTATTATGAGTGGCTGTTGGTCATGGTCAAAGGCTAAAAAAAATGTCGAATGTGGTCCCGGGAAGCTTAAAGGGACACTCAGTTTTTCCTTCCATGAGATATATATAGCATAATAACACTCATGATCAATTATAGCAGCACCATCCCTTCAACTAATAAGAATAATTTTGACTAAAGAACAAACATAAAACAGTTAGAAACTTTACCTTGCTTTTCATTGCCTGATCTTGACAAAGAGCAGAGCGCAACACTGGCAGACTTCTTTGCTGCATTACCATATTTTTTTTTGTCAAGCATCTTAAATCCTTTGTTATCACACATTTGAACTTTTTTCATAGATTTTGAGTGGACCTTTGAAGATTTTTTTACAAATTTTTTTGGTAAAGTGGCATCAGACCTGTTAATTAACACATTAGATCCTGCTTTTCCACTTTGCCTGTCCGGGTCTTCCCCTCCAACCCGAAGAATATGCACACGCAATTCGAATTTGCGCACAAATTCAAAAATACAAATATCTCCAACCTTGATCTCATTACTACGGACAAAGCCCAGCCATCCACCACATAAAGTATGACTTGTGTGCACTCTTGTTGTTGGCACAGAATTCACAGTCCAACAAGCTCCTTTCAGATTCCGAAGGACAATCTCCGTCTTGCACTTTGGGAGATGTTCCATTGCAAACTGATATGGAATATTCTGGGCCACAAAAAAAATAATAATAATAAAAGGCCGTTAAATACATAAGTTGGTTTTATGGTGTTTAAATAAAGTATCCTGAAAGAGTAACTAGTTGATCCAAAACACCAGATAAGGGCTAGAAGAATTTCCACATGGAAGCACAAAGGAGATAACTATAAGCGCTGTCAAGCCACTGAATTTAGAAGAGATGTAGGAGGGTCATCAAAAATGAAAACAGTTTCATGGAGTGAGAAGGAAACAGCATACCAATGTATATGAGCCACTGACATTGAATCTTTTCATAATTCTTACAAAAAACGGAAAGCTTGAATTAAAAGATTGGGCCACTTTTTTCTCTTCAAATTCTGCTACCATCGGTGTACAGCCACCACCATGCAGATTCAAATCTTGTGTGCCAGTTTTTTTCAGGATGGTTCCCTCTGTTTCAAGAAATGGGAGTTTGCATTAAAAGGAACTCCTGTGATGTAAACTATTAGCAAATTTGCAACAAGATAATATCTCCTTTTGGATATTTGCATTTTATGCCCAGAAAGTTCATGCTTTTCTCTTTTGTTCCTTTTTCTTTTTGGGAAAGTTCATAGATTCAGACAAAGAAAAAAAAACATCAGAATGAATGTCCACTCACCTATGCATGAAATTTCTCACATTTCATTTCTATGAGAAGCACATTGAATAACAAAAAAGTGGTATGCTATGCAAAAATGTTGAATACTAAATACGACACTAACATCGAACCATGGTTTTTAGAACAACTTTTTGTTGCTGGCATGGCTATTCCTTCCTAATAGAACATGATTTGAAGAAAAGCAACAAGATCCTTAGACCATAGAACACTGCCAATTCAAATGGAAAACCAGATTTCGTAAACAAATCGCAAAGAATGAGAGAAGATCATATCATTACCATGGTTTTCATCACATGAAGCTAATCCTCGACATGTTTTAGTTGCAAGTAACAGCTCATACCCGCAATGTTCTTTATCACCCACATCCCTATCGAATTCCGAAGAGCTTTCTCTAGTTCTCTTCACCAAGCCTTCACAATCTTGATCCAGTGAAACACCTTCATCCTCCCTACCTCTCTTCTGCCCTACAATTCTATCATATTCACTACCACCTTGACTGCATTTACAATGAAAAGCAGCTTCTTTCTCGCAAGAGCTTTGATCAAAAACTTTAACATCGAAAACCAAGTCACCATCATGTCTAAAAACCAAAAAATCACCACATTCTACGCTATGATCTCTCACGAAATCTGCCCAACCTTCATCGAAGAACAAGTCGTCATCTTTTCGAACCAATTCAACAACCCAACTGTATCCACTTGGTCCTCTTAACAAAACTGACCCAGTAGTTCTTCCCTCCAAGTTTCTGTTAAATCCCACTGGAATTTTCTGTTAAAAATACAATTCGTTAACCCAAAAAAATATTTTTTATAAATTATTTTCACTAAGCCCCTAATTTCTGCAGCCAACAATCTGAGGGAAAAAGGAAAAAGAAAATGGTGAAATACCAGGCGGTTGACGCTTGAAGTAGAGGGGAAAACGTTGACAAAATGTGGCCGGCGTCTCAACTTCAACATCGCCGCTGGCTCCGATTAGCTTTCCCGCCACTTTCTTCGCCGGGAAAGGTAAAACTTTTGCCGGGAATCAGGAGCACCGGTTTTTTATCGACAACGTTGGAAGATCAAATTCGGACCAATTTTCTTAGCTTCCGAGAGTGGGAGAGAGGGAGTGGAGCAGTTTTAAGAAATTCCTGTTCTGTCCCTGGTTCCCCAGTAGTCATCCCAGTCGATTTTAAGGCCAGTGTTTAACACGTCCCCCTTTGACCCTCCTTGAATCTCGAAGAGTGTTGTTCGAGATTATTTTGAGCGCGTGGGAAATCTGCTGACAGCGATACTTTTCCCGGGGTTAACTGAAACCTGCCATGTCAGTTGGAAACGCTCACGGCTCACTTGGATTGAGGCTTAAGGCCCAATTTCCAAACTTCCTTGGGCTTATTGGGCGGCAAAAGTACTAGATTGGGCTTGGGCCCACTACATGACTAGAACTGATATTAAAGAATGTTTATTTAATTTTATTTTTGATTTAATTTCTAATCCTTGGAAGTCATATTGATCTACTTTCAATTGTTGTGTACCAATCAATAATGAAAAATAATTATTAAAAAAAATGGAAAATTTATCTGAGTTTACGTTCATCGTCGCCAATGAATTGAGATTAATTAAAGAAAGCTTGTTTAATGGAAATAAATAAATCAATAAGGCATGTTGTAGGCTGTCAAGGTCCAAGACAAAGAATGCTTTTCCTTTATCTTAATGTCATCGGACAGGGACTTGAGCTGTGGGGGGAAAAGGATGCATCAAATTGTAGACTTATACATCATTGAACTAATCATAACAGACAAAAAAAAATTTGGCAGATTAAAACCAAGGATTGGGACAGATGGATGCATTGAGTAGCCATCAATCCAGAGGAGATTTATAACATGTGATAGTATCAGTGTGTACAAAGTCAAAACCACCTGCTTAACTCACACAGGATCAGACAAACATTGGGTCAGAAATCCTTTAACATACCCTATTTGCAACCAAGAAACTTGGTTTTTTGTGCTGCAACCTATCAGGAAGAGCTTAGAATGAATAGGAGCGAAAAAGAAATCTCACGTAGCACAACAGGAGCTAGTGCCATCATCTGCATTTCTGGTTCAAAAAAGGGTCCTTTTTTGGCTGTTGCTGTAAAACCTTGGATGATGAAAAACAATGACAAGTTTGATACAAATGAAGCATTTGCCAATAGCGGAAGCTGTCATGGGACTGCAAAGCCATTTCAATTCTATTTTGGATTACAAAATACTTAATTCTGAAGCTGACATGCCATTTTGAACCAAACTCTACAATGACGCTCAAACATGATTAATACACCAAAAAGATATTTTTAACAAGAATGAAAAAGGAAGAAAAAAATCATCTTCTCACAAGGAATTGCTCCAAGGGAAGACAAAAGGAACCAGACCACTTGGTACCATATCTTTGCATCCTTTCCAGTCGGCTTCAGCATCTCCAATCAATTTGAGCTGCAGATATCCTCCTTGGTGGAAGTTGGAAGGGATATCAGAAGGGTCCATCTTTTTTGGTTTTACCATTTTGCCTTTAATGAAAACAAAACCTACATGCAAGCTTCCCAGACCTATGTTTCTGAACCTTCAGATATTGTGGATAAATCATTCTCTTCAACAAATGATGGATTAAGAAACTTGGCCACAAAAGCCCATGTCTTGTAAACATCTTCAAAGTTGGTCAGGAAACCAAGTGATGCTGTAATAACTTTTACTCGAAAAAATAAATTTTTACCATCTTGGCAACCATTAGCCATTGGCTGGCACAGCGTTGAATCTTCAAGCTCAAGTGCCCTGCACTGCTGCTTCAGATTGTCCACAACTCGTACATGACTGAGTATACCAATGCCGAGAGAAATACCACTCTTCTCAGCTAGATGCTGAACAACGTCTGGGTCAATTAGTCTTCCTCCCTTGCTGTCCCGCACATTAAAGGCTACAGCAGCACCTCTTTCGTATTTGATCTTTGGGCCATAGATGTGCACAAGATGAACTCCCCTGCTTTCATCCGAACTAGGTAGCCGAAGTTGAAGTAATGAGGTGACAAGCCAATTGATCAGGTAACGCAGTCTAAGGGTAGTTTTGTTTAGACCCAACATGTTAACATGATCAAGATGCCGGCAAATTATCTCTGGCTCCTTTCTTCTGCACTCTTGCTCATCATCATCATACTCTTCATCACTACCAGATTCATCATCAGCCAAGGTAGTCAATGATATTTCTCCAGGCTCCAAG